GTTTGTAGTTAAAAATTTATAAAATGTTCAACTTTTATATTTAAACATTGAAAATTTAAAACAAGGTCCACGTAAATAGGCTATATTATATAAATTACTTTATTCACAATTATATGATCAAATATACTTAATAATATCATATGCTGACTGATCGTCTTCGCTCAAAATCGTTCTTACTTCTTCTTATACAATGATATTATATCATTGAATTCAAATTTAACACCATCCATTACAGTGACCCACTTGTAACCTTCTGTACAGCAGAGCGACACCCACTTGCCCCACCTTTTTTTAAATATTTTAATCCTATATTTGAATATTTCTAATATTGAAATACTATACTGGTGCCAACAAATTTATTGTATTTGATTTAGTTAATTGAACTCTGTAAGGAATTATACACTGTAACCAATACAATTATTTATATAACAATTTACATATTTAGATACAACAGAATACAACTGAGTCAAGTTAAATTACTTAATACTTTAAAATTAAATTTGCTCAGTTAACTTCTTAGTTACATATATATCATAATTTGAATTTGAAAAATAATTATTTACATACGTATTTAACAATTTAAATTTTAAACTATAAGTAGATAGGTAGCCGTAACTGTACCTATGATTAAAAGTTAATATGTAGGTACATAATTGGTAATATCATTATTCATTAATAATATATTATAATATTATATATTAGTATATAATATTATAAATTCATTTTAATCAATAATTATGTTTGTATGGTTAATAGTTATAATGAGTTAACAGATACTTAATATTAAAATTTTTAAACTTATCTTAAAAAGGTGGGTAAGTGGGTGTCGCTCTGCTGTACAGTAGGTTACAAGTGGGTCACTGTATAATGTATGATATTAAATTTGAATTCAACGATATAATATCATTGACCATTGTATAAGAAAAACGATTCTGAGAGGAGACAGTATGTCAGCCTGGGTATAAGACATATTATATACATATCTATGATATTAAACAAAAATTGACCTATAATAGGTACCTATAATAAATTCCAAATTAATCATATCGATATCACAATATCCATTTACTATACTTCAATTCAATTCCAACCATCTTATCAGTTATCTAGCTTCGAACGCACTTACCCGCCCAAAATTATATTATAGGTGGTCTCAACTGTGTGTTTTCATGTCTCTTAGTTCTTACTTAATACTTATATAGTTCATTGTAAATAAAATGAGTTATTGAACGTTACTTGAACGAATTGTAATTTTTGCAAAAAAAAACCTGACCTTCAAAAATGGAATATTGATTAAAATATTAAATAATATCATCGTACTTATTTCACGACTTAATATTTCACTATTTAGTACCTACCATTAATAATAGTATTATACTATTATTATCTTACTATGTAGCTTACTATCAAAGCTTGTAGGTACCTACCTACCTTAGATCATATACATGACATTGTATATTATCTAAGGTACCTACACTATATTATATTAAACCGTGGTAATGATGACATGTCATCCTATAATCTTGATTTAAACAATTTCACTCAATATTATCGATATTATACTAAAATCAAAGATTATATAGCCTATATAGGTACTTATTTAATTAAATAACCGCGGTGTGCGGTTAATATTATATTATTATATTGTAGCCGACGCTGAATAACTTTAACATTGACTCATAGATGGCGCATGCAGTTATGCGAAATTAAATAATGAATATAATATCTTTCCGAATGTTATTTTGTGGTGGCTCACAACGCCTCAGAGTCCTTTAACTCAGACAGCACTTTAATTTCTTACACAGTACCTAAGCACCAGATAGTAGATAGGTACTAAATATTAATTATCATTTTAATAATAGTATTATATATTTATAACAATTATAATACTGGTAGTTGATTATATCTGTGGCACGAGAAGATAATTAATTAATTATATTACTTTATAATTATGTTAGTTTAATAATTGAAGTTTGTTAATAATCAGACTCAAAAGTTAAGGGTATAAAATATTCAATATTGAAAGGTATATACTACTATTATAATGCATGAGTGGGTTTTAGATTTGTCGTAATGTATATTTCACATTTACCCTAGCCGCTGTTGAGATTTAAATTGCCAAGTATGACATCGGATGTGGCCTGTCGTCTGTTGGACACTTCGTAGCCCATAGGTAGATTCTATACATAATACATTATTAAACCTAATGTATTTGTATTATATTATTAATCTTGATTCTGAGTGGAGTGCTGAATATATTGATTTTACAATGATGTGTGTGTTTTTTAAATTTTTTTTATTCATATCTGTCATCACCTTTTAGGACAGTAAAAATGCTTAGATTTTCTTCAACAGCATCTTTTCTGATGAGAAAGTGAATCTAGTTAGTACTTTGGGGGGTAAATAAAAATGTTCCAGTAGTTTTCAATAGCGCCGGGAAAAACAAAACAAAAATTAAGGAAAGACGGGAATTTTTACGAAAAATCGATTTTGGTTTTTGGTGTAACTCTAAAACAAATATCCGTAGATACATGAAATTTTCACTGAATGTTTTTATTAGCATTATTTAGACTTGTTTTGAGCTGTTTTTCGGACATTTTCAGTTTCCAATTTGTTTAGTATTTTATTCTATAAATGTCAATAAAATCTTATTAGTTGGGTGAAGAAGTTTGACAATTTAATACAAGGCTTCTAATATATTGTTAAGTAGGAACATTGACGGATGAAAAATAAAAATACTAAAAATACCTACAGTCAATATTTTTTTTTATGCATTTAAAGTTCAAATTTTGACAAAACACGTAAAAATCACAAAAATGTGAAACTACTTTGAGTTTTAAATTCATAAAAAATTTTCTTTTAAAATCTAAAATTTGAAAATGTTATACAAGATTCCTAATAAGTTTATTCTACGTTTGTCAAAAAAAAAAATGTCTACCAGATAGTCTAATTAAATTTTTATGAGGGTTTGAAGTTCAAACTTTTACACCATTGGATATTCACTCGATTTCTCATGTAGCGATTTTCTTATATTGTTGTAATTCAAAAACTAATAACTGTATATACCTACTTGAAGTTTACACCATATTATGTTTATTGTACAAATCCCTACATTTACACAATTTTCAAAATATTTTATATCGTTTTGAGTTATTTATGCACATTTTAAATTTTCAATATTTTTATTTTTTTTTACTACAAATGTCAATAAAATGTAATTTGTTGGGTCAAAAAGTTTGATAATTTGATATAAGGCTCCCGATACATTGTTGCAAAATCAGTTCAGAAATTTAAAATTTTTTTATAAGCATTTAAAGCTTGAATTTCGACAAAATTTAAAAATGATTTTGTAGTTAAAAATGTATAAAAGGTTCAACTTTTATAGCTGAAGAATGAAAATTTAAAATAAGATTCCACTTAAGTAGGTTATTCTGTAACCAAAAAAATATAAAAACGCAGTTTTTTTTATAGTTATATTATGTTTAAATTTGGACGAAATTAGATACTTAAACGAAGAAGAATGATTTTAGTTTTGTGTTATATTTTGAAAGTATTATTTAACTTTTAAAGCATATTATTATATATAAATATGATAATAAACAAATAATAATAGTTCAATTTAACCGGCTACCGTATTATAATAATAACAATATTAATATAATATCCTAGGCTGACAAATATTGTTGTCGCTCAGAACCGTTTTTCGTATACAATGATATTATATCATTGAATTAAAACTTAACACCATCCATTGCAGTCATCCACTATAATCCTACTGTACAGCAGAGCGACACCCACTTACCCACTTTTTCCCCAGTTTATGTGATAGATATTTTTATTTAATAAAAGATGTTATACTTAATAGTTATTACTTATTAGTTATTACGTAAAGATATCAACTAAACATATACCTATAATAATTATATAATGTCATTGATTATGAATACTACTATACTAGTATTAGTATATACTAATATTAGTACCTACCTATTATTAGTATAAGTATTAGTATTATTAGTATTCATAATCAATGGTAATATACTAATATGTATAATTGTATGAATGTATAATTAATAATTATAATCTATAACCAACAGTTGAAAATCAATTATGCTACAAATTATACATAAATATTTATGTATGAAATATAAATTGTATAAGACAATCTACCTTCAACTTTAAAACTATTCTATTATTATGTACATTATTGTACACGTTTGTAATGTTTATTAATTTTTTTTTGGTATAAATCAATAATTATTAATAGGTTTAATAATTTATTACTTGTTAATATCATATTTTTGTTTAATAATAATTAGTAATTACCTTATATAGTGTATTAGTGTATGTAAGTTGTATGTACATAAACGTAGTAGTAACCTAGTAGGTACAATATTTCTCTATGTGAACCATTTTTTTATTTTTTTTTTGTCCTCGCCAAGTAGCTAACGATGAATTTATCGATGAAGACGGGTGGAATGTATTTTTCTTCCATGATACTCATCGGTGGCGGACACAAGTCTCTATGTGCATTCCGTGATTTGGAAAATCGGTAAAAGATGTTGTTTTTTATCGTAAATTACCCATTATGTTAAATAATAACGTTATTATTTTATAGTTAATTTGTTAACTTTCTGTTAATGATCGGAATTTGATTGAGTTTATACCTGAACTATTAAAATATTCTATTTATTGATAAACGCTTACACAGGTAAATAACATTTTTAATTTTTACATAATTAATTTAGTATTTATAATTGAATTACATTTTAAAGTGAAATACAAAACAATTTTTGTTGTATAACGTTAGTTTTTGTATAAAATCAAATCCCCCCCAGTCGTCCCTTTTTATTCATCAAATAAATATTCCATCCATTGAAAAAATCACTATTATATAGGTAGAAATATGTAATTAATATTATTGTTATTTTAAAAACAATTTGTTCAAAATATATTTAGGTATATAGTTATTTCAACATTTAATTCTAAGGATATACATAATGTATTTCATCAATAATGAAGATATTCCTGAGGAAAAATCAAAATTTCTACCAAAACCGGAAATCGTATCAAAATCAGAAATCTTGCCAGAATTGGAGGTCGAGCCAAAATTGAAAATTATATTACCACCAGAATTGCCTACCTCCACTAATGATAATACAATTCATCAATTGGTTTCTAATGATGCTGGGAAACGAGTATATGGACGAGCTAGGGCGAATTTGTGCTTCAGCTCATTTTATATATTTTGCGAAGACTTTCGCAAACAGCTTAGTTACTTATATCCCCATAAAAGTGAAACTTATCATAAGACTATGTAAGTATTTACAGCAAAAATGGCATTTCACATTATACATGTTTCATAAAATATATTATTCTATCGACCGAGTTAGTATTAAAGTAGAAGCTATCTATAGGTAGAACATTTTTAGTTACTTATTAGCTAGTTAATAGTACCTAATCTAATCGTAATATTATAATAGTAAGTATATTAGTATAGGTTAGGTATAGGCATTATTGTTTAAAAGCAGTATCTTCCATTTCACAATTCTTGATAAACATGTGTGATTAAGTTAGAATCTAGTTATAGTCAGTATCTTGTATCTATGTATATTATTATTAATTATTAACATTGATATAAATTATAACAATGTTATTAGGTATGTATGAACCTAGGTATAAGAAGTTAGATAAATTCCTACTCAAAAATAACTTAAAAAGTATAAATAAATTTAAAATTTTTAAAACAATAGATTATTTATATAATAGTAGGTATATCATAAACTATGTGTATTATAAGTAGTATACTATTATATGTGTGTTTAGACATTAGGCTACAGTAGGTATTATTGAATAAAAGCGATGTAACAGGATCACATGATAAATGTAATAACTTTTGTTTTAATCAATATTTAAACATTTTTGTTAAGAGTTATTTATAGACGCCTGCTATAAATACGGAATAAAATTTTACTAGATTTTTTTTAAAAATCTAAATTTTGATGGTAAAAATTTTAGTCTAGTATTTTTATTTTTTAAAATTTTTTAAAATATTGTCATAATAATATTATTATAATTTTTTCAAAGTATTGTTCTTAAGAATTTTCAGACATAAGTAAATATTAAATAATTTACTATCCATGTAACTTTTATAATTTTTTCATACGTTTAACTCGAGGTTTAACTTGTATCAATTTTAAATTTTTTATTTGTCAAGTTTTTCTGTTACACCCTGTATATTAACAGTTATTGAAAACCTGAAGTCCCGATACATGATTGTTCGAAAACATATTTTTTATAAAAATATAGGTAATAATATTATTTAAAATAAAGACTCCATTCGATTCCTATAATATTTTTTTGATCATGTATATTATGCTGTTATGACTACGATAACTAAAATGTTTTTTTTTTATTTTTTCTCAATATTGTGGTTGCATCTTTCCGGTTTGCCTTCGAACATTTTTCCTCAGTGGCTGAAATATCCTGAGAAAGACTTCTTTAGTTCTTCATGTATATTTAACCACGCGTTACCAATTTTCTCATCAACATCTTAATCACACGTCATAAAATTAAAGTTATAAAAGTTGTTACAGAAAAGGAAACTTTGATACAAGTTTTATAAAAACACTAGACAAATTCCAAATAAGCTGTAACATATTGAAAGTAAAAATAAAACTTGGGCAATTTGTGTATCTTTACAACAAGTGTTTGGTATAAAATGATAATAAACAAATGTAATGGCCGATTAATAATGCATCACTACCTATAATAAATGTGTTTATATTGAAGATGGCATTTAGTGGAGGGTAGAGGTCAAAAACTATGTAGAAACAATTCCACCTTAAAGTAATAAAGCTGATGGATTGTTATTATAGATATATTATATAGGTACCAAAATTAATTTCATAAACTATTAAGTGGGTAGATTGGAAAAATTAAATGTAGTTGAATCGCCTTATAAGTTAATGACTTAAATATAAGCGTGTGTGTGTGTGTGTGTGTGTGTGTGTGTGTGTGTGTGTGTGTGTGTGTGTGTGTGTGTGTGTGTGTGTGTGTTCGTATGCATTTAAAATTATTCTGGTAATTCGGTTATTTATAAAAATAATGTCAATAATCTCTTCTACTATAATACTAACAAGTAACACACAAAACTAGTAGCCACAATAATAATAATACATATTCCAATAACATTGCTCATTAAATATTAAATTCCAAAAATACATACTAATATTATACTTATCCATCTAGTCATACCTACATTTTTACCTTAACCTACTAAGTAAATTTTATTTTATGATAAACTGTAATGGTGTAAAAAATATGTGTCTAAAATTAAAAATTATTGTCATCTAATTAATTTAAATTACTCTAAACACGTAAGTACCTTGTCAAATAATCGATTATCTGATAATCAGTTGGGTTAACAACTTAGCATATTAAGTTACAGAAGATAATTATTCTAATAGTTGATTTAAATGGTATTGAGTATTTTACATACTCAATTTATTACAAAACATTATAAGATATTCACAATAGTGATTAGTGATACGGATTATATTATAATATATAAATATTATAATCAATGGATATAATATCACCATTTTGATATATAATTCAAACATTTCAAACCATTTAATCTCTACAATGAACAAAAACAATAATTAATAATCATAGGCTATTTTTAATGATATTTGTATTTATATATATTAAAAATAATTAAATGACCATAATGGTAATTTTATATAAGACTTAAAACTTTTTGTCATTACCTACATTTATTATTATTTTCTAATTTCTATACATGATACACTTTTAAAAATATTGAGACTTATTTTAAGCTATTTATACCATAAGCTTATTCACACCATTCTACAGTAAATATGTCGGTATTTACTACCTACAACCTACATGTCTATTGTCTACATTATACAATATTATACTAGTTATCAATTAATATTTAATAATATAATAATACATGCGATTTCATGATTTTGTAAAAATTAATTCAATCTTAACATAAGTACAGACGTACAGTATCACCACCAGAAAAATTAATAACTATACTTATACTAATATAAATAATAAATATATTATAAAGTATCTTTAGAAATAGAGATTGACACACAATCTCCGGTCAGAATTGTTTTTCGTACACATACAATGATTTATAATTTAATTCAAATTTCACATATTGACATTATATATCCACTACATTGATTTACTCATTAACGACTAACGAGGTAAACTCAAAATCTTCTGCAGGTAAAGCTTAACGAGTTTCTCGGGGTTTTTTTATATGCAATTGTACAATACTTTAACAATATACAATCTGATCATTATCTAAAGCATCGAGTGTCGAGTGTTTTTATATTGTGCTGTTTCTGTATCTGATTATAATATCCAATTGGCCACTGATAAGTATTATACAATGATAAAAATGTTGTTGTGTTCAGAGGTTGTCGTGGCAGACTATGACTTGACTCCAAGTTTTATGTCAATACTTAATTATTATACTTGCTATAGTCACTTCAATATTTTGGAGATGAAATTATAAAAATTAAATAAGTTTGTTTTGTAGTTATTCTATCACTTATTATAAATAAAAACCATAATTTTGTAGATACTGTTTTAGAGTTTAACGCCTGCAATATGTATTTTTTGTAGATTATACGCATTTTAAAACAAACCACCCAGGGTTGCTTACGAGGTTGCTTATTAGTTATCACTAGCTCTATATTAAACACAGAAATAAATTAGAAATTTTAAACTATGATTATATGTTGAATTCAAAATTAACACTAATGATTAATATTTAATTATTAAACATTTTATAACTGAAAAAATTATATTATTTATTATATTTAGAAATTAAAATATTGTGAAATAATTTATTGTTGACTTTTTTTAAACAAATTTAGTACAATTCAAACAATAATAAATTATTATTACATATTATTATTATTATTATTATTAATAATAGTTTCTTTATACTATGTTTAACTCGTTAGACTCAACTATATGTGGAAACATTTAAATATCAGAGACAAACATAAATACTATGAAACTGCAACTAAAGCTCGCACGATGTACAATCTGCCAGAACTTCCATACCTTACAGGTAATATTTGCAATTGTTAAGAATTTTTTACCAATATATCTATTATAATATATTATATTATAGGTAATATAACATTTTAAAGTTTCATCATCATAAATATTTTATAGCATATTAAAATAATATGATAAATTACATTATTATAAGTTATAATATAAAATGTGTATTACAAGAATGCAATATTAAATAAGAATAGAAAACTCAAAATGTTTAAAATAAAGCTTAGGTACCACTATTTAAATATTTAAAGTAATACCAATTAAAAAAAAAAAGGGTGGGTAAGGGGGTGTCACTCTGCTGTACAGTAGGTTACAAGTGGGTCACTGTATATAATGGATGGTATTAAATTTGAATTCAATGATATAATATCATTGTATATAAAAACGATTCTGAGCGGTGACGGTTTGTCAGTGTGGATTTTTCATATTATATTTATATTATTATTACTTATTAATAATAATAATAATTAGTTAATAATAATAAGTTATTATTAATACGGTAACCGCGGTAAGTTGAATTAATATTAAAAAATTACAACAAAATAAGGGTGAGTATTTTGGGTTATACGTCACTAAATGCGTTTGACACATTATTATACTTGTATATAGGTAATATATATTATATTATAAGGACTTAATTTAAATGTATACAGATTATGATAAATATATGAGGCGTTACGTAGCAAATTCAGCAATCTCCAAACGCAGTGATTTTTGGTAAATGTCGAAAAACTGTTTTACCTTTATTTCTGATATTTTATTTTCGTTGATTGATAGTGGAAGTTTGGTGTTATTCCCTGTATTCATATAATTTGTTAAATGTCGATAACATTAAATAACAAAGGAGGGAAAATGGACTTTGTCAAATTTGCTGCGGAACCCACGGAGATTTGCCATTAGTGATACCATTCGACGCAGAGTAAAAAGTATTATATTATGATGAAGTATTATTGCTGACTTTGCCACGTAACGCCTCATATACTATATATAGCTCATATGCAATTATGAATGGCCCACAAATACAAGCACTTTGTCCAACGTGGAAACGTCAAATCAATTCTCATACCACAAGGATTGCAGAAACCACCCCGCAACACACCCCATCGCAATTGCCCTTGTTACTACTTCTCGATCACGTCCTTCAGCCAATTCCAATAACTATATATATCCAGTTTAATACAAAATACAATTTCAATATAATATATCTAAATAAATTATACCTATAACCTATGTTCTATAATGAAATACACCAAGAAAAATAAAAGTTAAAATAATAGTTTTTATTTCTAAGATCTACAATGTATTATACTTTATAGGTATATAGTGTGTATTAGAGCAGAATTTTTAATTAAATAAAATTACTATTATTTTATTGCAATATTGTTTTATTACCTTTGTTTGTCATATTATAATAAGAGCTTGAAAACTGACAAGACAACTTGACCGGGATACGTTTTTTTAAGTTTACATGTTTATTGATTTTTTTACTACATCACATTGTAAACGTGTAAGGTCAAACTAGGTGATTGCTTCATAGTTCATAAAGATTTATGTACGTAATACTCTCAAGTATTAAAATGGGTAATTTATATATATAACCTACTTACGTGGAACCTTGTTTTAAATTTTCAATCCTTATAGCTATAAAAGTTGAACATTTTGTACAATTTTAACTACAAAATAATTAGTAAATTTAAAATGAGATAAATTTTATAAAAATTCGAACTTTATATGCTTATTCAAAAAAATTGTGCCAATGTATATTTAATATTTATCAACTAATATTGTAGTAATCAGGAACCTTGTGTTAAATTTTCAAGTTATTTGGCCAAATAAATAAAATATTATTGATATTTGTAGAAAAAAAAAAAAATTTTTTTATTTGAAATTGTCCGTAAACAGCTTAATAATTTTTCAAAATGTTTGGTGTACCTATATAAAATGAAAATATAAACATTCAGTGAAATTTTCATGTATCTATAGTTATTCGTTATTGAATTACAACAAAATAAGAAAATCGCTACATGAGAAATCGAGTATGCACTGTTATAAAAATATGAACTTCAAACGCTCATAAAAATTTTATTTTATTTTCTTGTAGACATTTTTTTTTTTTTTTGATAAAGGTTGCAAACTTATGAGGAATCTTTTATTTAAATTTTCAAATCATAGATTCAAAAAGAAAAATTTTTATTAATTTCTAGCCCAAAAGTCAAAATAATTTCTAAATTTTCGTCATTATTACATATTTTGTCAATATTTGAACTTTAAATGATTATAAAAACAAATTGAGACTATGGATTTTTAATATTTTTCAAATATCATTGTCACAATTTATAGAAAATGCTTATATAACCAACCAAAACTTCATATATCTACGGTCATTTGTTTTATATAGTTACACCTAAAACGAAAATCGATTTTGTCGAAAACCAATTTTGAGTAGAAATTCCCGACTTTCCTTAATTTTTTTTTGTTTTTCTAATCGCTTTTGAAAATTACTTGGAATTTTAAATTTCAATCTCCCAAAGGAACCAATAATATTCACTTTCAAATCGAACAAGATACCGAAGTTGAAAATCGACTACTTATCGCTTACACAGACACAAACAAAAATTTTAAAACAAAAGACACACATCATTGTAAAACCAATACAATCATCGCGCCTCTCAGAATTTAGAACATGTCTACAAAATATATTATTAAAGTATAGCTGTAGGTTACAGTGGAGCTAGAGCGCAAAACCACATTTTTTTCACGAAAGTTGAAATTTTGTAGAGTCAAATTAAGAAACTCACTTTTATTACAACATTACATCTTTTTTTGTCAACTTGTATTTAACTTCGATATCACGCATAATATATGGGAAAATAAAAATGACAATGTTAAAATACATTTTAATTCTGCATCCAATTTTCTATCGAAAACAGAGTACAAGCTATGAAGTGATTGGATCCTTCCAGCTTCTTTCTAGTTTCTACTACTATATAGTACCTACCTATAAAGTTCTATCCAAATTATTTATGATCAGACATACGACAATTAAAAAGCACAATATTATTATACAATTTCACAAAATATTTCTAATAATACCAACATTTAAAAAAAAATTCGTAACAAGCATTATGATTGATTTATAACAATTTCTAATTGTTTTCTTAGTCAGTATTGTAGCACCTTAAGAGAGTTAGGTATATTTTGTCCATCTATGAATAATGGGTAATATCTGCATATTATTATAAAATTAACAACATCTATAACAGGCACAGCTATATTAAAGAGTTTGTTTCAATCTTATACATATATTTTATCCATACTCTATAAAGAACTATAAAAACTATTTGACATCTATGATCTATATGATAATACTGCAAAATATTAAGGAAGTGAAAAAACAATAATAAGCAATTTTAATTTAAAAAGGTGCTCTGCTGTACAGTAGGTTACAAGTGGGTCACTGTATAAGGGATGGTATTAAATTTGAATTCAATGATATAATATCATTGTATAAGAAAAACGATTCTGAGGGGAGACGGTATGTCACTCTAGGTATAAGACATATTATATACATTTCTATGGTATTAAAAAAAAAATTGACCTATAATAAATTACAAATTAATCATATCACAATATCCATTAGGTACTTATAACGCATTATACATCAACAAAAAACCCTGATACTATCATAGATATATAAAAGTGTACTTTAGAAGTTTCAAGTACCACACGAATAATATTATACAATCACAACAAAATAACTAAAATAGTTATTTTAGGTTTTTAATATGTAATTACTAATTTCGTCCAAATTTGAACTTAAAATGACTATAAAAATAAACTGTGATTATGTATTTTCTAGATTTTTTGGTAACAGAATTAACTACTTACGTGGAATCTTGTTTTAAATTTTCAATCCATTTTACCCATGTATTTTTAATATTTTTCATCTGCCGTTGAAACAATATACTAGGAGCCTGCTATTAAATTTTCAAGCTTTTTTAACCAACAAATACAATTTTATCGATATTTAAAGAAAAAAAACTAAAAAAAGTGGAAACTGAAAATGTCCGTAAAGAGCTCAAAATAAGTCAAAATATTATGGTGTATAGAAAATGCTAATATTCAGTCAGTAAAAATTTCATGTATCTATACGGTCATTTGTTTTAGAGTTACACCAAAAACCAAAATCGATTTTCTCAAAAACAGATTTTGCTTAAAAATTCTTGTTTTTCACGTCGCTTTTGAAAACTACTGAAAAATTTTACTTTTGACCCCCCCAAAGTACCAACTAGATTCACTTTCCTATCAGAAAAGATACTGTTGAAGAAAATCCAAGCACTTTTACTGTCCTAAAAGGTGATGACAGACACAAAAAAAAACATTAAAAAAAAACACACATATCATTGTAAAATCAATACATTCATCGTTCCACTCAGAATCTAAAATGGGTGGTTGTGTTTTTGCATTCAAATAACTTGAAATTTTAAATATTTTACAAAACATAAACCGTAAATTACTAAAAGACCGAATTTTACCACAGAAATTAATTACTATATAGGTACAACGCTCTCAGAGCATTCAAATATCTTATAATAAGTATATTATAAGTATACATATGTATAGACATTTATATATATATAAATAGATATAGGTGGCACTGCGGGAGCCTTCCTACTCTACAATTAATGTTATTTAATGTCACCACACTTACTTATTATACCTTGTCGTATAGATTGTAAATATTTATTTGTAAATAAAAAATAAAAAGTTATTTGAGTATTAATATAATATTAGAGTATAATTTATATTGAAAAAAATAACTTAATGTGAAATTTCATTGTATTACTTACATTAGGTATTATATTTATCGTTATTATTATTTTGAAGTATGGAACATAGCCACATCTCTAAAAACTTGTTCCTTTAACAATTTTTTTAAAAAAATCAAGAACTTTGGCCTCTAGATATATTACTGATTGAAGGATTTAATTTGCTGTGTATTTAATTCTTCCTGCTATATACACATATACAGTGCGTATTTTAATGTAATACTTAGTATACTATTAGTCACCACACAGCCATACTTTACGCTTCGAATCGTTTGCGAACTCATCTTAACTTAGAGCCACGGGACATGAAAAAAACAAGTCATATAATTTAATATAAAAACTTAGGTTCTTCAATATAACTTTGCCTTATACCTACCCTTATGTTTATGCAGATTGTAGTTTATGCATAGTTTTACCATATAATAATACATTATAAATTATATTACCACTAGTGTAGTAGTGTCCTAGTCATAGGCGGTACTAGATCCTCTTGGCAGGGGTGGCCAGAAAATATTTAAACTATCTAACTATATGTTGGGAAGGGGGGGGGGTCGTTAATGGGTGACTTCCCCTTCACCCCAATAAAACCCCTTCCAATTTACTCATTGAATAATTTTGTAAATAAAAAGGTGGGTAACTGGATGTCGCTCTGCTGTACTGTAGGTTACAAGTGGGTCACTGTATAATGGATGGTATTAAATTTGAATGCAATGATATAATATCATTGTATTAGAAAAACGATTCTGAGCGGAGACGGTATGTCAGTCTAGGTATAAGACATAGTATATACTTTTCTATGGTATTAAAATATTAAATTATATGGAATTTATGAATAAATTCCTTAAAATATGCACAGTCTTATCATGAGCATAATTGTTATTCCTTATACTATGGTAGATTGTATGGATAGGCCATAATATTTTGATTTTTCAGTTTCATATATCCCCGAATAATATTTTTAAATTACAACAAAAACAAAGATCGTTATAATATTGATTTTAATATGTAATTTCGTCCAAATTTGAATTTAAAATGTCTGTAAAAAATAACTGTGTTCATATATTTTTTAGATTTTTTGGTTACAGTATGAACTATTTATGAGAACCTTTGTTTTAAATTTGCAATCTTTAGCTATAAAAACTGAACATTTTATAATTTATTAGGTAATTACAATGATTGATAATTTTCGAGATTTTGTCAAAATTCGATATTTAAATGCTTATAAAAAAAAATTGTGCCAATGTATTTTTAATATTTTTCAATTGCTACTGTAACAATATATCAGGAACCTTGTATTAAATTTTTACACTTTTTGGGGCAACAGATAAAACTTTATTGATATTTATAGAAAAAAAAAACTAAAAAAATTTAACAAATCGAATCTTTTCTTATCTATCGCAATGTTGTAACGTTTTGACGCACATCGCCTTATCAGGATTCGTTGATAATAAAATCACAGAATAGATTAAATAATAGAATATTTTTTAAGTGTGCGTTATCATTCACAGATATTTTGGAACAAATTTCGTATTGAAAAAAAAAATTTATATATTTTTAGAGTTAGGAAACCGAGATTTAAGGAATTATATATTAATACAGGTATGGTTCGCAGGAGGGGCAGTTGCTTACTCTGCCACCCCCGTAGTACCGCCTATGGTCCTAGTACCTACTTATACTTAATATACGACTGTTCGTGAGACTATCGTACGAAAAGGTAATGCACTAATGTGTATACAATAATACGATACATATATATTATATACTAGCTGCCCGATCTTCCTCCGGAAGAAATTATTTTTTTATAATTTAATTTAAAAAACATAAGCCTATTTTTTGGCTATACAAATAATACAATATAATTACATATTGTAGTTATTGTTATTGCTAATTTCTGAAAATTATATTTCCTACATTTAGAATTCAACCACTGGAGTGGTACATTTTATTCTTTTTATTATAGAATAGAGATAAGGCAGAAAAAAATGTAACAATAAATTATTTGTTCAATGTATAATATATATATTTCAAATGGAAAAATGCAAGTGCAAACAAATAAATAATTAATAATCATAATAACAATAATAAATACAGTGTGATTCCTTTTAAAGGTAACACTAAATAATTCTGTCCAGTGACATCGGATTAATATGCGGTTTTCGGGAGGGGATAGGGAATATATAAATACAAATTTCTTGATGATTTTTACATTTTTCGATCTTTCCAGGTTTAGTAATTCAGCACTTATTTTATCATCGACATCATTTGGTCTAATTTTATCAACTAACCAAACCAGTAAGGCAGTAAATGAACATGAGGAAGACCTTAAATAATGAATAATTATACGTAGAAAAATAATAATAATTAAATAATACTATTCATTTATTACCACTTTTTTTGCCACTCAACAGTATACATATAACACTGAGTTTCACCAAATATCCGATGTTTCACAATTAAGTTCATTAGAACTTTAATTTTTTGATGAAAAACTCTAGCGATAATGTCGTGTCTGTCTTGTGTAGTTTGACCATGTTTGAGTTCTCTTTTTATTTCCATCCAATTTGGATTACATGTAAATGTAATGAACAAATTTGGAGTCCCAAAATTACGAACGTAAGTCATGGCATCCATAGTTTTTTCGTGCATGTATCTAATAATTAATAGTATGTACAATATTTTAGATTGTTAAAATGAATATTACAGTACATTTTTCGTAGCAATTTTAAGTTATAAGATACAAAATATTTTATTACCTTGGACCTCCTGTAAATGAAGAAGGTAAAATAAAAAGTTGTCCAATGTCATTCACTTGACCATCATTTTCTATAGCATCACGTAAATGAATATAATCTTCCGCTCTTAATTTTGATTGGTTATTCCGTATAAATAAAAGCCGTTCTGATTCTATTTTGGCATACATATCAACCTTAAAAAAAAATTACATTCTTTTTGTATTATTATAATGTTTATACATGTTTTTGATTAAGTTGAAAAAATATTGTTTACTTACCCAATATTTATTAATAAGTTTTCTATAATTATGTAAATGATATTGTAGATATGATGCCTGATGCCTCACCATCAGTCTATAATGTTTTGAAGAAACAGTTTTATGACTATTGTATTCATTTAAATTAACATTAAATGACAAAATATCAATAGCATAACCATCTTCACCGTGTAGAAATATCAGTGGATATTCTAGAGAATCATAAGACCTTAAAAACATATAAGTAAAAATTAAGAAAAAATGTACAGTGTATACACTTTAAAAGGAATTTACCTATGAGTTTCACTTATTCGTTGTAACTTTTCGTCTTTTCTAGATAAAATTATATCGCGATTTCCATATTCTTCTCCAATCATTACTACAGCCATTTTTACTTGAGATGGTGCATTAAATCTACCTCTATGTTGACCTTGAGGAACCATATTTGCATTTATGACTAATCGGTATTGATCAGTGGGCATAATATGATCCAATGCAGTTTTGAACTTAGTAATTAAAGGATTGATATTATGTAACAATAATTGCAAATCTCTTATAATATCTAAATGTATAAATATATAAATTAAAACGTTTTAAACAACAAATATATTATACAATACAATTACCTTTATTCAATCCACTGCAAATACCCATTCGCACATCAATTTGTTCCTCTTAGTCATCCATAAAATAAACTTGTAAATATTTATGATTTGTATTTGGTAAAGGCATCCACGACCCGGCTAAATGATACACTTGACCTCTTATTTTAAATGTAGGCATATCATTTTCGACAATAGTTTCTGCTGCTCCAAATGAGGTCATATGAAATGCATTATTATATTTATTAATATTTTCTAAAAAGTGTTCTGAAATACTTGTTGAACTTTCCAAAAGAGTTTTCATTGGTTCTGGTGGTTCATCGATATTAGGAATACGAACAGTTCCATTTAAACAACACATACACATACCAGCAGATTCTCCTTTAATTAAGAAAATAATATAAAATGTTTTCAAAATTCTAAAAATGTATACACTAATAAACTACCTTTGAATTTCATTGCATTGCAATATTGACAAATTACATCCATTACACCGATACAAACATCATCGTCGTCATAATATGGATGCTTAGAGGTTGATATAAATAGGCAGACCGGAATTTTACCCACTTGAACGGTATATCACCTAAAGTATATGCATTTATAATAATAAATAGTAGTGAAACATAGGCGAAGTATAATAAACAGATATATTATTTAATAATGTATATATACCATATACCAAATAATGTGGGTTCAACATTTGGTTTTAACCTTTTACGCTGTGTAATAAAAAACATATTGGTTTCAAAGCGACAATTGCACACTCTAAAGTTTTTATTATTTGTACGAATATTGTTTTCGCGTTCCAATAAATCGGTCCTGTTGCAACTATTAAGCCATTGTATTAACCTATAAAATATATTTAAATCATTAGGTGGGTACACTTTATAGAATTATTAATTACAATTATCAAGTATTAGGTGTTATTAAATACCTCCCTCCTCCATTTTGAATTGCATACGATGGATGCAATTTGAACGAAGTTCACAATTATTATTATTATTATTATTATTATTGAAATAATATATTTAATTAACACTTGAGAAAAAAATTAGATCTGTTAGTAATGCTATACAACAAACGACTGAACGATTGGAGTTAGAAATGTCGATCTCTTCGATCGAATAAATAAGGGAGCGCGCATGCGTATTAAAAACTTTATTTATTATTTTTTTTTATTACCTTTGTACATTATTATAGGTCAACGATTATAAAATAAACAAAAAAAAGAAAAAGACATCGTTATCGGTGAATATATGAAAATAATTGGTAATTAGTTAATTATTATTATTATTATTTTTATGAGGGTTCAAAACCGGTTTCCTTCGTCTCCAAAATCAAGTTAGATTCTTATATATATAGATTACATAAGGAAATAGTTTTTCCCTCTCCCGTTTACCCCGTCACCACTAACCAACACCGACCTTCCCGACCATAGCATAACTTATTACTATGAGCGTGGTTTTTTTCTCCCTCCACCTCAGGGGCATACCAACCATGAAACCCTCGGAATACTACATAGGCGACCAACGCCTACCACTCCCGCCTCAGCCAAAAATCCATACAGTATATTATTATACAGCATGCGCCCATGTTGTATAGACGCACGCACACAGAAGTGCAATGTCTAAGGGTGCTTAACACTTAGCACTCTGAACTCTATACCAGCACTAATCCTATAATAGAACTATTGCTAGGTATGATATTATCTTGAATAATTTGTTTTTATATATTATCAGTCAAAAATTATTTAAAAATATCTATAAGTAACTATTATTTATGTATGTATTATAAATTATGGTAAATACAGGATAATTCTTAAAAGTGCTAATCAACCTTTTCGAAAATGTTAGACAGGTATAATACTCATAGGCTGAAACCCATTAAAATTCAGGGGGCTAACATTATTAACATCAATGTGATCATGGGAGCTTAGATCCTACAAAATTAAAAAAGAAGGCGGTTTGAGCTCCCCACCCGATTTCCGCCAATGTGTATACTATTATACTTTCATGGAATTCTAATACTTCATATTGTGTTTAATTTTTCATCCATGTGGTGTTCGGACTTTGGTTAATACATATAATATTATCTTTTGATCATCAAATCGCTACCTTTAATTTCTTATACACACATAGAAATCTACGGTAGATTCAATACAAAATGGTGTTAATATTATACAAAATACACTGATTGCACGTTATTTTCCAGCTTAGGCGAATTTGGTGTTGATACAACACTTACAAGTTACATGTCACTTAAACGCCAAGTGTAGAATAAACACTTAATTAATTTGTATTGACCGTAGTATGTGGTTAAAATGACAACAACCTATGTTAAAATAAAGTAATGTTGTCAAAGCTATACCTAGTAATTGCTGGAATAAGTACATATTGTAGTTCATTAATTAATTTAGTTTAAAATTAAGTTTTTATTATAGTTTAAATAACATTTTTTGCTATACTTAACATTTATCGTTGATTATACATTTATGCAGTTAAATAGGTTAAAATAAGAATAAAATATCTGTAAGTCAACATTTTTACCCTCTACATCGATATTGGTGTTAAATCAAATCCAATATTTCTATGTGTGTAGCCTTATAGGTAGAATACTTTTCTAAAATATAAAAATGTTGATGAATACAGATTATAAGCATTTAGAGTCTATAAATAGACGAATTGTGCCTGTATGGACATACACCATATTATATACAAACACAAACACACACACACACACACACACACACACACACACACACACACACACACACACACACGTACGCACTCACGCACGCACCTGTACACAGCGAGTAGTGGTGGCGCGACGTGATGACGGCGCCTCGGCGCCGTGCGGTCGAAAACCGATGGATTGGCCACCGCGGTGGTATTGATTCCACTGGCGGTGCGCGCGAACACCGCCACTGTCACCTAAACCGCGCGCGCCTGTGTCGGCCGCCGGAGTCGGCGTCTGTGGCGGTGGCTACCCACGCGTCAGCCGACCGAGCGCGTTTCCAACAACCCCTTCTCCCTAACATGCGGCTATCCCACAGTACAACACCACTACCCGCGCACCGGCCTCTGCGCTCGTATATACCCATTATTATTATTTCGTTCACACGCCGCCACCGGTGTAACGTTGGTTCGGCGCAAACGCACACCGAGAAAAGACTCCTGGCGACACCACCGCATGGGGGTGTGGGGTGTATAGAGTGACGGCCTAACCGTAAACGTTTCTCGCTCCTTTTCCGTTTGTTCTCCTCCGCGTCCATCCCTGTCGGTGGGGTACTGCACCGCTCCGCCAAATCTGACTCGCGCAGTCGCGCTCGATGGGTACGTCAATTGGTGGTGCGCGCGCGCTCGTCTTTCTTATCTGCGCACGCACTGCACTATATACATGACAACCGGCAACCAGCACGTGCCCGCGAAAGCTCAATACGCACTGCCGACGCTCCAAGACTGCACGTATACATACAATTATGCCTACACGTACGTGTACTGTAACACATCACACACCCACGCCTACCCACAGCTATCATACTCTCATGCATATACAATAATATATATTATGCACCTATGTATGTTGTTGTTTAAAGTGATCTGAATTATTCCCATCGAATTCGATGATCGCACTGCTGCTCGGATGCTTTATTAATCGTCATAATAATTTAATATCATATACTATGCCAATGAAGAATTATCGTCATTATTGTTTTTGATTTGCCAGCGATTCACGGTGAAAGTCCATCAATAACACCGGAACATTTGCTTGGTTCTTCAAACAGCGAATTGGTAATGTTATGATTTACTATTTATAGGTACATTAAAATATGTACACTGACGATACAACATTCTGAATTTCCAAAAATCATTGTGAAAACGCGATTTTATTAATTAGAAGTAAAATAAACACTTGTCTTATTAAATCATAGTAAAATATTGGTAAGATTAACTCCAACAACCTTAAAAACAATTAATATTTAACAAAATTTCAAATTACATATAATTCTATAGGTTTCAAAATATTTTCAATTTTCAAATGCATATCATAAAAATGTATATATTGTATATGTAGGTACTTGTATTTTACAAAATGTTGGGTGTCAAATGTTCTGCATCATAATATGAAAATTAAAATTAATTTTTGTAGTTTCTCTGTCAAGTTAAGAAGACGTTACACCCGCTGTGTGGTCTCCGTCTTACAAAATGGACAACATGGAAAATTTGCGTGTTGTTACATTTTGTGTTGTTATAGCTTTAGTATTAAATTAATTGACTTATCATCTAAAGTTAAGGACTTTACCTGTGTTCTCCTTCTTTCGTTGATTTTTAAACTATTTAAATTTTTAATATTTAACATGCTCATAATTTGCTTAAAAATGTAAATATCCTAAAACTACCAACTAGATATTACAGATAATATTCTTACTTTCAAGTTTGATAATAGGTCAATTCACTCTAATATTTATGCTAACAACACAAAATTTGAACTGCTGCACGTACATTTTGTTATGAAGTATATAGTAGCCAGTAACTAATGCTTTATTAGTAGACAAAAGCAACACGTCAATACGTCATGCGAGTACGGCGTATTAAACTTTTACAAAAAGAAGATTCGTATACAAATTAACTGTTTAACCATATTATGTATTATGAAATGTAGTGTGTAGTATAGTGTTTATGTTTATATAGGTACATGGTTTTGTGTTGATAGTAGATACTAGACAGTAGTAAAGTATTTAGTATTTACTATTTACTATTTACTATTTACTATTAATTCACCAACGTATTTAAAAGTGTTTTCATAAATGCTAAAAGTAAGGATCAACATTTATTTCAAAATACAAACTTTTCTTATCCTACAGATCACTAACGTTTTTGTAGTAAAATAGAGAAAATATAATTTACCGAATACCAATATGTACCTAATTCTGTATTAATAGAATTGGTTTAATATAAATTTAATTAATACTATTTTATTGATAAAATACAAATTATCAAATGTAGAAATGTAGAAATATAACAAAATATTACAAAAAAGCATTTAAATATTTTTTTCTATAATTTTGTTTAATTCAAATGAATGTGTTACATTCATTAAATAATGACAAATTTACTTCTCAGATTGACAGATTACAATAGTATCTATCTAGTACATACTACGTAGGTACAATAAATATTTACTATAAGATTAAGTGTTGTAACTTATATATAATATATGAATGAAAAAACATAAGCATTATTAGATTTAAAATAATATCAATAATTTACTGTATAGAATTACTAATATTGTCAACATGTTATTGTTTTCAACATACAATAATTCATAAAATTGTGTAATTTTTAGAAAATGGTTCAGAAAAGTTAAAGTACAAATTTGCAAATAGTAACAATAGTACAGAAGTTATTAACTCAGGTGGTTCAAAAATAGTTGGGAAACTTGTAAAAGTCAAGTTTTCAAAATCATGCACAGCACCAATCATAACACCTCTGGTAAGTGGTAATTTTCTGCTTTAACTTTATAATTAATAAAATAAAATGTTCTAGTAAATAATAAAATAAATATAATATATATTATGAACATTAAATATTATATATTATACTATGATAGTAATATTAATGTAAACAATATTCGTACGTTACCATATGACTTAAACCATTTGATGTTGTATACAACATACTGTTTTATTTATATAAGTATACATTTATTGTCTTAATATACTTAGGTATTTTCATTTTATTTATAATTATTGTATTTATTGACGCCTATATAATGGCTGTTCTAAAATCAATTGTGATAGAGATAGGTTAAAATATAATAGTTGATTATTTAATGAATACCACGATTAACGATATCTTAAAACTTGAGGAGGACCTAATATTTTAACAGTAACCATAACTTACCAAGATTAAACTAGATTGTTCATACAATGGAACATTCATCTAAAATAGATATGTATTATATACAATTTCTTTAAGAGACACTACACCCGCATGTTGTAAACAGATACCCTCATGCGTTGTTAGTATCTTCCACATGCACAGCGTGGCAAATCTACGTATATGTACCAGATTCTTACTACATTTTATTCATCGTTAATATTAGAGAACATCAGATGTTATAGATTCTATATATTTTCAATTTGATGAGGACAGTATAAACTGGTCTGAAACAGATAGTTAATTTTAATATTATTTAAAACTTTTAATTATTACTAAGTAATTCATTTATTCAAATTCATAATATAAAGTTTTAAAATAAATATAATGTGAAAAGCTCTCTGCTCGGAGTCAGTTTATATTCACCACTTCAATTAGATAATATAACTATTTTTCCCCAATTTTAGTAGGTAAATCTACTTGTAATTTGTGCTACCAGGTACATTGAAGTGCGTAAGTAATCTACACCAAAATATAAAAAACCAACATGTAATCTGCGTCACATATAATATTAATTTTGGTAATCTACGCCATGATAGGAAAAGAAATGGCAATTATTATAATGTAATCTACGCCAAACATTCGATCCAATTATTTGAATTTATCTATTAAATGTACGTAGCTCATATCAGTCATAGGTGCAATTTGAGGGGTCTAGGGGGGGCTTAGCCTCCTAGTTTTATTTAAGCCCCCCTAAGTTTTTAAATATATTCATGATTAAATCCACCTATTAAAAAAATTATGCGGGTCTGTATTGATTTTATAAATTTAGCCCCCCCCCCCCCAAATTAGTTATCCAAATTTCGCCTATGGTTATAGCACATAAACGTGAATAAATAACACGAACAAAGCACAATTAGTTATAATAGGTATTCATGGTTTTTATATAATTTATTATAAACCGAAATATCATTCATTTATACCTAAAGTGCGTAGGTATATCTACAAAATATACAATAATTACATTACTTTTAAATTCTAAGTGGAGCAATGAATGTATTGAATTTACAATGATGTGTGTTTTTAAAATTTTTTGTGTTTGCCATCACCGTTTGAAGTAGACAAAATGCTTCGATTTTAAGAAAATGAATTTATTTGGTAAAAAATTGAAAAATGTCTTAGTAATTTTCAAATTCGTCGGGATAAACCAAAAATAAAATTAAGGAAAAGCGAGAATTTTCAGCACAACCAGTTTTGACAAAATTTATTTAGATTTTTGGAGTAACTAAAAAATTAATGATTGTAGCAGTTCAAATTTTCACCAAATATTTATATGACTCTTTTTGAATTACTTATAGACATGAGGAATTGTTCACTACAAATCTAAGATTTAAAATTTAAAATATAATACAAGATTCCTCATAAGTTTATCTATCTTTATTAAAAATATGTCTACCGGAAAGTCAATCTAAATTTTTATGAACGTTTGAACAACTTCAAACTGTTAAAACATTGGATATTCACTCGATTTCTTATGTATAGCAATTTTCTAATTTTGTTGTAATTCAAAAATGAATAACTGTAAATACTTAAAATTTAAAACCATATGTTTATTGTATCAATTCCTATGCTTGATATAATTTTCAAAATATTTTGACTAGTTGTAAGTTGTTAACAGAATTTTCAATTTTTTAAAAATTTTTTTCTATAAATATCAATATAAGGCTCTTGATACATTGTTGCAAAAGAAGTTCAAAAATTTTAAAGATTCGTATGCACGATTTTTCTTATAATTATTTAAAGTTCGATTATTGTCAACCGTTATCAAATATAAAATTTATAAATAATTTGTAGTTAAAAATGTATAAAATGTTCAAATTTTATAGCTAAGGCCTAAGGATTGACATTTAAAATTTAAAACAAAATTCCACTTAAGTGGTTATTTTATAACTAAAATATGTAAGAACGCAGTTTTTTTTATAGTTATTTTATGTTCAAATTTGGACGAAATTAGATATTTAAACGAAAAAGAATGATTTTAGTTTTGTGTTATATTTTAAATATATTACTCGTGGGTACTTAAAACTTCTGAAATACCTATAGTATTATATACAAATAATTTAATTCAACTTCAGGCCCTCGCGGCTATTGTATTAATAATAATATAAATATAAAATATCCTTGGCTGACAAACCGTCTCCACTCAGAATCGTTTTTCGTATACAATAATATTATGTCATTGAATTGAAATGTAATACCATCCATTACAATGACCCACTTGTAACCGACTGTACAGCAGAGTAACATTCACTTACCAAGTTTTTTTTTATTTATTTATTGGCGGTAAATAATTTTTACTTGTTCAAAAAATTTGAAAAATGGACAAAAGTTC